GTGTACCATCAAATCAGATCTGACTGGTACAAGAGGAGATTGTTCCTCCTTCTCCAGCAGAGCATCTGGTGGATTCGAACCATGCATCTCTGAGATTGGAGTTGCAGCTTCTTGCCACTAGGCCACCAGAGCTCACTGGTAGTTATTATTTTTTAGTAATAGATTGTAGGGTCAAATCATCAATTTCACCTTCTTCGCCCAAAAAGTGATCACAACATGGTATATACTCACTCATTTAACTGGGTTTTTATTTTCTGAGTTTTTACTACATGCCTGGTGGTTTGGTCTATAATGTATTGGGCTGCTAACCATAAGTCAGCAGCTCCACTACACCAGCCACTACAAGGAAAAAAGCTAGGCAGTCTTCTCTCATAAAATATTTACAACCTCAGAAACCCAGTGGAGGGTCACTTTGAATTGGAATCCATTTACAGCAGTGGATTTTTAGCATATGGAGTTTTTCTTTCAGGCGCTGAAGTTGTAGCAATGAACACACAATCCTGGATGAGATATGACTTATTGTTGAGGCATATTCCATCAAGAGTCACCCACCTCAGTATGACAGATATTGCTAGTTTCCTGCCAAACTTCTAAAAAAAAAGTCTGAAGATCTTTCTGGCTGTTTACTCGCTGACCTAGAATGTAACCAAATTACACAGAATCACATGCAGTTTCATCAAAATACAATGCCTTAGTTCATGTTTTCTTGACTTCTCCCCAGTTCTATGAACATCTGACTCAACTTTTCTAAAAATTCTGTTCAAATGCTCTACTTTCAAGTTGTTATAGTCTCCCCATTGAGCTATAAATTTTCTGAGTATCTACAAAATACTCTTTCCCTTCTATGATACTGACATCATATCCCTGCGAAGGGAACTCTGGTAGCTTAGTGGTAAGGAATTCAGCTGTCAACGAATCCACCAGCTGCTCTGCAGGAGCAAGATGGGCAGTCTTCTCTCAAGCAATTAACAGCCTCTGAAAACTCGCTGGAGGGTCAACTACGGGTAGATTTCAGCTCAGTGGTATACAACAATATGGTTCAAAGGAGCCCTCATAAATGCTGTACATAGTTAAGTGTTAGACTGCTAATCAAAAAGTCAGCAATTGGAACTCAGCAGCCACTCTTAGGGAGAAAGTGGAGGCTCCCATAAAGAGTACAGCCCCAAAAAGCCAATTCTATTCTATCCTAATTGGCAGCAGTGGTGGGAGGAAGGGGGTAGTTATTAAGGTAGTAAGCCTTAACTCTCACATAAACTTCTTAAGGGTAAAAACCAAACTTTTATGTCTTTATATGTCTCATAGTTTTTAAGATACAGCTTTATGAAGATAAAGCAATTTCCCTGAATTAATTCAAAGTTTTGACCATACTCTAAAGTTGGCTAAATAGTTGTGTGTGAAGCAGTGCTATAATGTCTGATGGTGACATCTGATGAGAAGTTTCTGTCCTGTCATGACAGAAGGAAGCCATGTCGGCAAAGGGAAAGAGATCATTTATCACTGCTCCAGGATTATATCCCTCCAAGATAACTATGGTTATCTCCGAACTGTATTTGATGTTCACTGTTGCCATAAACTGAAACATGAAAACCATAAAGTCAATTATCTTGTGGGGCATAGCTTTTCCTGCATATAAACTTTTAAGTAATTGCCAATATCACAGTGCCTAACCATCCAACAGTGAACCAGAAAGTCAGCAATTTAAACCTACCAGGCATCCTGTAGGTCAACACGTAATAGTCAGCTTTTATAAAAAAACAAGTCTTGGTGAGCTCTGATGGCCTAGTGGCAAGAAGCTGCACTGCAATCCCGGAGATGTGCAGTTTAAATCCACCAGATGTTCTGCTGGAGAAGGAGGGACAAATCTCCTCCTGCATCAGTCAGATCTGATTCGATGGTAAACACACACACACACACACACACACACACACAGAGCCTTAGAAACTCTATGCAACACGTGCATTCAGTCCTACATAGAGCTACTGTTGAGTGGAATCCATTCAACAATAATAAGGATTTTTGTTGTTGTTGTTAAACTTCTATAGTATTTTTACATACTAAAAAAACCTGGCAGTTTTTTAATATTCAATCTTGTGGCTATATTTTCAGGAAACATGGTCTCAAAAAGCATTTAAATTAAAATAACACTAATTTAAAAGTATTTGGATTAGTGATTAAGTTTTCAACCTAAGGAAAAAAGAAATAAGATCCTAAAAACAGAAAATAAATATCCTTAAGATGATTTTTTTTAAATAATTTTTTTTTATGTATTTATTTATTCTTTTTATGTGTGTACCGTCAAATCAGATCTGACTGGTACAGGAGGCAATTGTTCCTTCTTCAGCGGAGTATCTGGTGGATTTGAACCGCACACCTCTGGGATTGAGTGCAGTTTCCTGCCACTATGATTCTTATTAACAAACTGACTTGGGAATCCCAGAACACTTTGTAATAATGCTTGTGCGAAACCTATACTTGGACCAAGAGGCAGCTGTCAGACCAGAGCAAGGAACACTGCATGGTCCAAAACTGGGAAGGGTGTACACCAGGGATATGTCCTATCTCTATACTTTTCAATCTATATGCAGGACAGATGATCTGGGAGGCTGGGCTCTATGAGGAGAAATGTGGTATCAGGATTGGAGAAGACTCATCAATATGTTATGCAGATGACACAATCCTGCTGGCTGAAACTGAGGACCTGAAGTGCTTGCTGAAGGTCAAGGACTGCAGCCTCTTCAATATGGATTGAAGCTCAACATCAACCAAAGATTCTCACCACTGGGCTATTGGTAGCATCATTCATTATAGATGGTGAAGAGATTGAGATTGTTAACAGCTTTAGTTTGCTTGGCTCCACAATCAACACTCTCGGTATCAGCAGCCAGGAAATTAAAAGACAAATTGCATTGAGAAAGTCTGCTGTCAGAAACATTTCCAAAGAACTGCAGAGTAACGATGAGTCTGGAGACTAAGGTGTGCCTGATACAGGTCATGGTCTTTGCAATTATTTGCTATGTGTCAATAAGCTGGACAATGACTAGGGATGATAGGAGAATTGATGCCTTTGAGCTGTGGTGCTGGAGAAGAGTATTGAATACACCATGGACTGCTAAGCTTCGTCCTGGAAAAGGTGAAACCAAGCTGCTCCTTGGAGGCAAGAATTCTGAAGCTTTGTTTGACATACTTTGAACATGTTGCAAGGCAGGACCAGTTCTTGGAGAGAGACATCATGCTTGAGAGAGGAGGGACAGTGCAGAAGAGGAAGACCCTCAATGACATGGACTGATTTAGTGACTGGGGTAATGGGGTAACTGTGTCAGAGACAATAAGATTGGCACAGGATAGAGCAGGGTTTAGGGCTCTTGTACATAGAGTCACTATAAGTCACAGGAAACTCGACAGCACATAACAACATTACTGAATTAATGTTTATTTCAAATCCTGCATAAGTTTTTCTAGTATGAATACACTGGTGTGCATCACAGTCACATTCACGGATTCCAAGAGGCTATACCAAACTTTTACCAACAGAGAGTTGGGTTTCCAGTCATTCATTGTTATACTTTTCTCCTGTCCACTCCCTCCCCGCAAAATCACTCTTCTCCTTGAAAAGAAAAAGAAAAACTCTTTCATTGTAATGCAATCCTCCCCCCAAGTCCATTCCACTATTCAGCCTTTAGTCTGGACTTCTATAATGACAAGAAAAAGGGATATATGAATGGATATATCGAACTTTTGTCCATAAGACATAGTGGGTCAATGTGATCAATCTAAAGAATATCTTTTTAAAAAGGACTTAAGTACTGAGCGACACTGATGATTAATCAGTCACTTGTGAGACTTATTTTTAACAAAAAAATTTTAATGAGTCAATTTATTACAAAGAATTAGTGTGCAATCAAAACCAAAGACAATTCACAGGGCAAATTGGCAATAAGCAAAACATATTAATAGATCAAGGATACTAAAAAATAAAACTTTTTTTCTGAGCAGTAATATAAACATCATGGCATATTATCATTATTTTACACTAGGAAACAGGAATTAAGATAGATATGCTTCGACTTTCGTTGTTCATATAAAGGTAAAACAACTTTCAACAAAATATGTAAATATAAATTCTAGAAAGTGAGGCTTACAGAGGTGTTCTCTTCAAAAGCATGCAATTCCCAATAAAGGTTTCATCTCAATGGATGAGAAGGAGCATATTTACAATCCAAACATAGGTCTTTATTAGACACAAAGTGAATTACTCTCCAAAGTTCTATTAAGACATCAGTTGGGCTATTACAAAATAATAGCTCCTCTGAATGTGTGTAATCTTTAAAAATAGTAGGAATTTGCTTGTTCTTTTCTACCTTACTCATTTACATTTCAAATGTGGCCATGTTAATGACCAGATCTGTATGGGTTCTCTATTGTAAAAGAAAGATAAAAATTATATACAGTTTATGAAGATCAAATTTTAACCATGGGTAATTTTCACCTAGTCCAGTGACCAAAAACCTTCCAATACCAGTTATAACTAATAGGTATTGAATCAGGCCAAAAGAAATCTCAGCATAATATCTACAGAGAAATACAATTTTTAGACATAAATATTTTTCCTTTCAAATACATTCCTTTTTCTTAAAGAAGTATTTATCATTTACCTGCTTTTAAACTGGCAATTGCTGTGTGAGCGATGCTTTAAACCATTCATATCAAAGTCTTTTCCTACCCAAAAGCTACTGTTAATTGAAGTTAATTTTACCATTCACATTAAATTCAGATGTCTAGATCCCAGATAACTGGGTATGAAAAATTCAAATCTGCCAAAAGGAATTGGGTATTTTTCTTCTTTTCGTTTATATAACTCACTATATAATAGTGAACTAAATATGTTTGTTTCATAGAAACAACTTACATTTGCCAATATAGGGCAAATGGTCTATGTACAGATACATTAGGACTGCCTAACTGACAGTGAGTGTTGCCAACCAGGCTCCAAGTCAATGGAGCTAATAAGGTGGGGCTCTCTGCTGAATGGACTTTCCCTTCAGGATACGTCGGATCTGGAAAAGAAAGAAATAGGGTTTATGAAGTCTATTTTTATGGACAAGGTACCCTATTTCCTTCAGAGTTTCACTCCTTTCTTACATACTCTACACTACTCCTGTTGACTTGTTAAGTGCCTAACAAAATATATAACGATCTCTCAAAAAAATTTTAAGGCAACTTAAAAGAGCCTTAGTGGCACAGTGGTTATAGGCTTGGCTATTCAGTGAAAGGCCAATGGGTTAAGCCTCACTCAACAGGAGAAAGATGTGGCAATCTGCTTCTACAGCAGCCTTAGAAACTCTATGGAGTAAACACACTGATTAAATAACTTGAAAGCTTTATCCTGATTGTATACTGAGTATTTTATACGACACAATTATACAACCATAATTGTGTTGTATAAAATATTGGTAAAATATGATCTAATTCAAGATCCTACTTATCTTGAAGAGAGTATCAACTAACTAGAGCCAGAGCCCACATTATATAGACACAAGTAAATTCTGAGTAACCCTGCATGTCAAAGCAGCTACCATGATATCCATGTACCAAAACTCTTGCACATAACTTCATGGATCATATGAAAGCCCTTGACTTTTCATTTGAGTTTAGTCATTAATTTGTACTACAGAATAACATACTGATATGTTTTAGCCATCTCTTGGCCCACATAAGATTGGAAACAACAAATCAGAAAGAGAAGACTTGACAGGAAATGCAATTAATATAGCTGCTAGAACAATCACAATGTGACAATAAAAACAAGGGAAAAAATAACCCTCTCTCTAAAAAACAATCCAAAAACAGAAAAGGGAAAAAAAAAGAATTGGATGGGAATTTAAGTGAATCATTCCTCTCTGACCCCTGAGAATACTGTGATAAACCCACACAGTGAAGAAGCAAATCCTGGGCTGAGGTCTCTGCCTAAGAGATGTTTCTTAAGAGACAAAGAGCTATATAAGTTTATATAAATATCAGTATTACAAACATGATGAAAACTAGAAATCAAAGAAAAGGTTAAATTCTAGATATTCTGTGATTTTAAAAGTACGTAATGACCTACCTACCATCACCATACCCCTCAGAAAGACTTCCACAAAAAAATATTTAAGTTCTAACCCTTCTGTGACCCTCACCTGTTCTCCCACAGGACCATCAGGAACTAAATGCACTGGCTGTTCATTCTCCAAGTTCCGAGTACTGGGGTCTGCTCCCTTTCTCATAAGCAAGCGGACTGCATCCAACTGGGTCACCCGATACTGCAAGCTGGCAGCAACATGGAGGGCAGTATTTCCATTGTAAGCCTAAAGACAAAAGAGATCAAAAAATCAAGTAACACACATCAGGAACGTGGCTTTTGTAAAAGGCACCCAAAGCTTGAAGGTGTAAAGGTCATTACCTTTGCATTCACAAAAGAGAGGCAACTAGGAAGCTCTAAAAAGAGGCGAATGAGTTCCAGATTTGCTTCTTCAGCTGCCAAGTGCAAGGCTGTGCGACCACTTTTACGATCCTGATCAAATGCAAGAAGGAAAATATTCAGTCACCATACTTTGGAACACCCTTTCCACCCAGCCTCGCCAACTTGGCCCTGCAGACTCTAAATGATCTCTTCTACCTAAAATCTTCCTTCATCCCAAAGCTAGAAAGACTGTATTATTCCTCCTTAAATTCCCTACTAGTTGTTTACCCATGTGCTTGTCTGCAAGGTCATAAGATGTAGAAACACAGATTAGTATAGTTTTAACATGTACTATAATTTTAATGACTACATACATAATCTCAATAATCACATAATATCAATAAACTACTGTTTATTATAATTATTACAACCATTTATTATATCAATGTTTGCCCCTTTTTCCAGACTTGTGGTCCAAACTCTATGGTTATATTTCTCTGTATTGTTCATCTCTTCTATTACTAAGTCCCCCACATACTAAGTTTAGCCATTTTTACCCAAAGCACCTATCCCAATCCACAGAGAAGGTCCTCAGGGAATAAAATTTTAATTTTAAAAAAAGATCTATTTTTTAGTTTAAAAGAAAATACTTTGTACAGATACAAAAATCATTAAGAAACTCTATTATAAAGAGCACTACTTCTACTTTCGGCATATACTGGAAGTTAAAATAATGGTATTACGCCAACTTTACGTTTTCCTTCCACATAGACTTCAGAACTAAATGACCATATGAATAGTAATCCAAAGGTTTAAACCAGATCAAAAAAAGGTGACCTTTTAAAAATCTGAGTTCCCTATTCACTCCATTAATTAGCAACAACAACAAAAAGTTCTCAACTGTACTTGGGAACAAATTATAAACATCTTTTGTACTCCTTCCCTCAACCCCATTTCAAACCTCTTCTGTGCGTTTACCTTAGCTTCCACTGCTGCTCCCATTTGAATCAGGGACTTAATGGTGTCAACTAGACTCTTATTCTTCAGTAAGAGCTCCTGAACTTCAGGTGAGTGGGGTTGTTGGTTTCTCTGAAGCTCATGCACCACAGCATTGTGAGCTACAACCGCACAGTGGAGAGGAGTCAGGCCTGGAAGGAAGGAAGAAAAGAAAGAATGAAGCATGGTCAAGCATGTAATTGAGTCTTTCTTTGCCAGTCTATAATTGCAAACCTTGAGAATTCCTCTAACTTCGTTTTCAAATGGGCTACACCCTTTCATTCTTAGTATGGTATTTAATATGCTTAGAATATATGGATCACACTCTCTAAGTTATTTGACCCAGATGTCCCCAAAAGGCCTAACCCAATGCATAGAGAAGGTACTTAGTAAATAAATATCAAATTCAGCAGGTCATAAACAAATATAAAATTTAAAGGAAAAAATATATATTTTGTTCAGTAAAATTCCAGTTGCTTACCTTCATAGTTGGTTGCCTCAAGATCCACAAACTGATTGCTCTTCACAGCTCCCTTCTGAATTGCCTGCAAAATTTAAAGATCCCCTTAACAAAAGCAAAGCTACCAATACGTTATCTATTGGTATCCTGAGCAATTTTAAATCAACTCAAAAGATTACAACTTCTGAGCTCCAAGCCTCCCTCCTGGCTCTTACCTGAAGCACCTGGGAGTGGCCCTTCTCAGCGCAGACATGCAGAGGTGTTCTTCCCCAGCAGTCTGTGGTGTTCACCTGGGCCCCAAGGTTCACCAGGTCCTGCACAATGAGGTGCTGATTGGCAGCTACTGCCACCTGAAAGGCACTCTGTGGAAATTCAAGGGGAAAACACATTTTTTAAAACATGGAACTCTGCTATTACAAAAAATACAAACTTCAATTGAGACACAGAGAAAATAAATCCTACTACTTACTACGCAATTAAATATTGGAAGACAAGGAAATTGAAAGGAATTCAGAGTGGATTTATTACATCCATTTAGTCTTTGGACAAATAATTACAAAGTTAACATTAATAACTTCAAGGTTAATGGGAGCAAAGAGTAAACATCTCAAAGTTAATATTAACTAGACTCTCTTGCTTAAGTTCTGATATTGGTCAATACATAATAAGCATAAGACTGTCACCATTCCCCTTCATGACATTTGTATATTTCAATCTCTGTTGAGATCCTCACCTGTCCATTGTGCTCTTTAATATCCAGCATGTGAAGTGCATTCATCTTCCTTGCAAGGACATAGGAGAGTGCCCTTCGCCCTTGGGCTACAGCAATATGGAGGAACCTGAGGAAAATGGGAAGGAAAAGAGGTAAACTATTTTTTTATTTCACCCTAGTTCATTAGAGGGATATAATTTTCCCTTTAACTCCTTTCTTCAGATGCACCCAAAACAAACATTATAGAGTAAAATTTGTCTTTTCTGCTAGAATCTGAATTGTAGCAGAAACAATTCACCTACCAGAAATAACAAGAAAAATGCCTACTACCATACTGGTCACTTTCAATCTATTCTTTTTGATACTCATAAAAGCTACATGAAGAAAATCTTAAATATCAAGAAACTAATACATAGAGAGGTTAAATAACTTGCCAAGGGCCACAAAGTCTTCAAGACATATCAAGATTCAATCTGTAAGTTAACTTAGCAATTTTTGTTTAATCATAATATAATTGTTCCTGCTCTACACTGTATAGGCTGATCTTCCAAAGCCAATCAGTCAAGAAGATAAATACTTTTGTCAAGTAGAAGCTGTTGTTGTTAGGTGCACTTGAGTCGACTACAACTCCTAGCGATCCTATGAACAACAGATCTGAACCCTGTTCTATCTTCACACTTCCTGACACACTAGAGCCCACTGCCACAGTCACCATGACAATCCACCTGGTCAAGTTAAAACATATCATTTTATCATCCAGGAAAGTAAATAAATAAAAATGCTTCTAGAAATATTAGCTATTGATGAATACAGTTTCTACCTAAATAAGTTATGTTGGTGAGCTAACCACTTACTAACATATAACATGGTATACCTTACAGAAATTCTGTATATGCCCATTAGGTCCAACAAGTGTGTTTTATCAAATTAAAACAAAGGGTACTCACGTGTCACCATCTGCATCCTTTGCAAGAAACTGGTCTTGGGAAATATTTGCCAATTTGCTTTCCTCCTGTTCTACTTGCCACTGGAAAAATGACTTTCCTAACTGTGTGGTGTTCATTGCATTTCCAGCAATGTTTTGGAATGGCAGTGAAGTGTTCATGGGGGAAGAGCCTGCATCATGCCCACTCATGGCCTCACAGGCACTGTTTGGCATCATGCTAAAGTTCTGCAGGTGGACATCATTTTGTTGCTGAACATTAGGGGCAGTCTGAATGGGAACAGCAATATTTTCAGATTCCCTCTGATTACTAAGAAGAGGCGAAAAACTTTGGTCTGGGCAGAAATGAGGTTCCTGAACATCAAAGACATTTTCTTCATAGCTGGGGGACTGAGTGCTGGAATAAGGACTATAGTCCAGATTTGAGCTGTGGGTATAGTGATGTTGTTGTTGTTGTTGTTGTTGCTGCTGCTGCTGCTGCTGCTGCACATCCTGATTCTGTGGAGAATACTGGTACAAGGAAGCCTGATCCATCATTTGTGGAGAGCCACTGACTTGGAAAGGCTGGTATTTCTGAGGTGGGGAGAAGAGCTGCCCTCTGTGGAAGTCCTGACACTGCTCTCCGAGGGAACTCTGAGGGACGATCACAGGGTTCATCCAGCTAACTTGGACAGTGTTCAGGGAAATGGGGCTGCATTCATTCTTAATGTTGATAATGTTCTGAAGCAGATCAGCAGTGCTATCATGTCTGGATTCATTGTGATGAACATCTTCCATGCTCTCCCCTGGGGTTGGTGTTTGGGGTGGAGTCTGAAAAGGAAGAAAAATCAAGATATACACTCACTGCCTTCTAAAATTACCCTAGGAAAACTGCCAGAAGGGTTGTCAGAAGGGAATAGTGAGAAACTTACCAAGAACTGGGTATGCAAGAGAGCTGGCCTTTTGCAAGCTGGTCCATCAGTCAACAAATCAGGGCCTTTCCTTTTTCCACTATATGATCCTGTGTTCTTCAGTTCTGTACCCAAGAAAGAAATAAGAGATCTGTGATCCTTAAATATTTTTTACTTATAATCATACTAAATTAATAAACTTTAAAGTCCCCATCATGGATAAGTAAATCCTACCTGTGAATTGTTCTGCATTCACACTTTGTGTCTGTAAGGGGGGGAAAAAGATTTTTTTCAATTGACTATATATACAAAATAGCTTCCTGCTTATAAACCAGACTTCTCTCTATCACTCTTTACAAGTCACTGTAAAGCTTTGCTATCATTGTTCTATCAATATTTATTTTCCAACTGCATTTTCATCCTATCCTGCAACTTCTCCATTTTCACTTTCACCTTAGGTTAAGATAAAAATAGGATCATTTGGCTTTTGTTAAATTTCAACTATATTCTATTTATCTCCTTGCCCTTAACTTGCCTTCATTTATTCATTGATAACATTTCTCTTGCATATCTACTACATGCCTAGCATTGGGCTTAGTAATAGAAATGCAACAGACAGGACAAATACGGCTTCTGTTCTACATACGGTGCAGTTTAGGAAAGATCACTAGTTGTACCTAGGTCAATAGGGCATAATAATGCTGACAGACTAACCTCCTTAATCCTCCCTCCTCCCAGAAAAAGAAAAAAACCCAACCACAAAAAAATGGGCACCACCTTAAAATCATCCACAGCTTGGCCTGAAGCCTTCTGTTTATGACTTCGGATGTGCAACAGGAGTTCCTTCACCGAGTTTTTCACACGAACACCTTGAAAGGGTCCTCTCTGCTGCCTTCCAACCCCCATATGGGGCTCAACTGATAAAAAAGGGGGGGAAATCCCAATTAAATCTCTTCATAGACACAAATTTTAATAATCTCAAAGTAGAGCTATCTAATGGATAAAGTACTCATTAATAGACTGCAGTCTTTTCCAACTTAATCCACAGTTCTATCCAAATGTTCTGTTGTCTAAAACTACACCCTACAGAATGCTTAAGGAATTCAATTTTACTAAAGTATGATCAGGGGAGTCCCCAGAAACAACTGTAAACCCAAATTCTGGTTCTCTGTCTCTCAACACAATCTACCCATAAGGCATGATCACAGATTTGGCTACCCTCTCTTATCTACAATTATCCTTTCTTTTTAAAAAAACCTTAGGAAAGCAAAGGATAAATAGTGAAGATTTAACTTTTCAAAGCAAAGACTTGATGCTTGGAAAGGTTAAGTCTGTTCATTTCATTCACCTTAGAAGCTGGTGAACAGATGTCCTTCAATTAGCTCAATATACCAAAGCTTAACAATTAATAATGCCTTAGATTTATTATTTTCCTCAGCTCAGCAATGCCAACAAAGCTGCTTAAATTCACTACAATCAAACATATTTATACACATACACACACAGGACTTCCCCTCACCCACTGTTTGTGGAATTGCTAACACAGGCCTTCTAAGTAAAAAGGAAATATGTTTCACATTTAAACTTTGAAACAGGCTTTAAATGCAGCATCTTAGTACAGCATTCCATTTCTGACCAGTAATATGTCACAATCTCCTGGGATATTAGTTGATCACAAAGTAAATACACAAAAAGTCAGGAAATGAATAATTTAGCTACTTCTCTAAATGATTAAAAAAAGAAAACTGAACAAGTAAAAATCTGAATATATATACTTATGTATGTGTATCTCATCAGTGCATAAGATGTACAATTCATTGACAGAGGAAATTAAGTAATGAATTGGTTTTAGGTTTAAGTTTAGCAATGCCATAATTTAACACGGAATTTGTCTGGAATGACGGTAGTTAATTTAATGATGTCACAAGGAGAAAAATTCAACTTCAGAAATCCCCTATGACTATGTGGTAAACCAAGGAACTGGCAAAATAGTTTCAGCCAGATGAGGGCCAAATGTGAAAGAAAATACTTTAACACACACACACACACACACACACACACACACTTCTTAAATTCCTACAGGTCTGACCAGTTGGCATTTGCTGGACCCTTAAATAAAGTGACTATATCACATAAAAAAAGTGTCTTAAAATAAGTCCCACATGTAAAGGTACTTTTTGAAAATAAAAGGTAACCAAATAAGGAGTGCCTAGTACTGGGAACACTGGAAAGAGAATGAGCTTTAGAATACGGCTGATTACACTAGCCAATATTTGACATTTTCAAGATGGTCTTGAATCTACCCACAGTGGCATCCTGTTTTCCCCCAAATTATGAAACTCACTTTCCTAAATTTAAAAAAAAAAAAAACCACACACACACAAAGGAAACCAACCAGTTCAAAACCAATGGTAAGAAACATTACACCTTTCTCTTACAGTACACAGAACAAAAAGACCTGCATATCCTGCTGAATTAGATTTCTGAGACGTGTAACCACCACCAACTATGAAGGCTTTTCATTTTACTTCTTAATAACTGTTACTTTAACATAAATTCTCTTAAAATTTCCACAAAAGCTTAAAAAAGGCAAAAATTAACAACAGAGGCAAAATCTCACAACTGTAAACGAATTACAGATTAATAAAGCTAGTTTACAAAAAAAATAAATAAGACACAAACACATAAGAGCAATAACAAAACAAACCCCTCACCATAAAAGAAATATCGTACGAGGTTCATTCGGCCCAGAAATCAGAGTCCTCTGCTCTGATTAGTTGAAAGCAAGGACAGCAAGATTTCATACACAGTCAAGTGCCCAGAACCAGGTGCCCAGCAACAGGCAAGTGCATTGCGGCTAACTGACCACGGCAAAAGTGGCCATCAGACATGTGGTCGAGGTCACTTTTGGCCACCTCTGGGGAGCACTAACCCCACCCTCCCAAGGGTTAATGATTTCAAGAAAGTAACCCGCGTTGGCCCCAGCAGGTGAGTACCTTGCTGCCGCTCGGCGCGGGGGCCGCCTCTCGGCCGGGACTCCACGGCCCCACAGGAGGACACGGACGACACGGAGAAGTCCGAGGAGTCCGAGCCGGGCGAGCCCGGAGCCGAAGGCCCCGACGACAGGCCGCTGGGGTCGCAGGGCCCGGGCGCCGCGGCCGGCGGGGACGCGCCGTAGAAGTAGGCCAGGTTGAGCGGGCTGGTCATGAGGCCGCAGTCGCCGGCCGCGTCCAGCAGCCCCTCTCCGCTACGGCTGTCGTCAAGTAGCTTGTCCACGATCATGCTCTCCGGCGCGATCGGGGACACTCAGACACTCGCGCCACCGGGTCGCTTGCTACGTGTGGTTGCTTCCCAGCTGCTGCTGGGGGTTGAAGCGCAACGCTCACACTACAGGGACACGACACCGGTAAGGGCGCGGCCCGGGGGCGCCGCATATTTAAAGCGGCCGGGGGGGGCGGGGGAGCCTCCGGCCTCCCCTGAGTTCGGCCCAGCCATTGGCAGCGCCGGCGCCCGCCTCCTGGCCCCTCCTCCGGATGCGTCCTGTTTCCAGTAAAATGTACAGGATGAGGCAATGTGCCCTCCGCCCTCGTCCTGCTCGCGCGACTCCGCCCTAACCGGTTGTTTTCCTGCCCTTCACCTGGAAACCCCAACCTGGCGCGGCCTCCTGCCACCCCGCGCAGCCCGCCCAGCCGAAGCTAGGCCGGCCCTGTCTGGACGCCCTGGAGGAGAGTGCGCGGCACTGGGACAATGTGCCTGCAGAGGGAGGCGGGAAGGCGGCCAGCAGTTGGGAACAGGCCGGCCCGGTTCCCGAGGAGCAGGAAGTTCTGGAAATTGCGCGCCCCGCACCCCTCTGCCCGCCCTGGCCCGCGAGCTTCTCGCCTGCCAAGCATAAGGTGCCTCTTGGCGAGATTCTGGTGCGTCACTTCCAACTCCTTAGATCAACTTTTCTCTTGCCTTTTTTCATAATTTGCCATTATGGTGCCAAAATGAACGCGCCACTCAGATCAGTTTTCTGTTGTGATAATAAAATCTGAACAACTTTTTAAGTGTTTCGTATAGGGCCACAATAAAAAGGAATAGTCACACTCCAGTTTGCTTACAAGCTAACGCAGAGCTTTCTAACCAAAATTATAAACATATACATAAATAACGTCACTGAGGACTAATGTGCGACTGAACCCATATGCATATGAAAGTTGGGAAATGACTAAAGATTTCAGCCTCAGGAACCCAGTGAAAGGTTGCTATGAGTTGAAATTGACAGCAATACGTGGCTCTTGTTATGAGCCGTCAAGTCGCTTGCAACTCATAGCGACCCTGTGTACAACAGCCCTAAACCCTACTCTATCCTGTGCCAGTCTCACCATCTCCGACACACCTACTCCCATTACCCCAGTCACTGAATCAATCTCATCGAGAGTCGTCGTCCTCTCCTGCACTGTCCCTCCACCCTCCCAAGCATGACGTCCTTCTCCAAGGACTGGTCCCTCGCAACATGTCCAAAGTATGTGAGACGAAGCTTCAGAATCCTTGCCTCCAAGGAGCGGCCGGCTTCACCCTCTCCAGGACAAACCTATTTGTTTTCCTAGCAGTCCATAGTATATTCAATACTCTTCTCCAACACCACAGCTCAAAGGCATCAATTCTCTTATCATCCCTGGTCATTGTCGAGCTCTCTGATGCATAGAAAGTGATTGCAAAGACCATGGCCTGTATCAAGCACACCTTAGTCTTCAGACTGACATCCTTGCACTTCACCACTTTAGAGACGTCTCTAACCACAGACTTTCCATTTCCTGGCTGCTTGTGCCAAGAGTGTTGACTGTGGAGCCAAGCAAACCAAAACTGTGAACTTTACTGTTCACTGACATTCAATTATTAAAATCATGCTAGGAGTTTGCAGGAGAAAATGATGAATGATTTACATCGGCCTTTTGAAGTACAGTATCTTAGATGATAAAGTAAATGTGCTCATGCTGCACTAAAAGAAAATTATTATGATTAAAAAATATGAGGGGTGCAAAGTTCAGTGGGCTCTCAAAAGGAGAGACAAGGAAGGAGAGGGTGGCATGGAATAGAGACAGGCCTTTATTGGCCCCCAGCTCATGGCTATCCATGTACAATGAAGCTAAACACTGCTTAGTCCTGTACCATGCTCATGAATTTTCATAGATCAAACCGTTGAGTTTTGAAGTAAATGAGAGTCACAGAATTGTCACTGGCTGAGTTTTTGGAAGTACATTTCCTCTTTTTCTTCCTAGTCCTTATTTTTTTTCTTCTTCAGTATGGAAGCTCTGTTGTTCATTATCATACAAATCAATCTTCATGTTTCCACTGAACCAAATGATCACCCTGTATCCACAGCCTTGATCATCCATATCCCAGACTGTATATTTTCATCAGCATGTCACATCTACAACCAAATCCAAGCATACCTTCACTCTTTTTCAGTGGTTCCCTTTTAGCTTTCATACCAAGTCTTATCTTCTTAGACTGGCAGAGGTACCTGAGACCACCCTTACAACAAGCCTTATCTTCATTACCTTCAGCAAAATAAAACTCAGCATGGTTTTTCACAACCCTAGGGCTTTGTTCCTGCTGTTCATTCTGCCCAAAATGTCCTCCCCTTTCTCACCTGGCCTATTCACACTTACCTTCTGAAGATTCAACACTCAACACACCTAGAACATTCCCTGACTTTTGCTCTCCCTCATCACTGTGCCAAAAGATAACATGATAGATGGAGAAGATTGAAGTTGTCAATTAATTCATCTTGCTTGGATCCACAATCAACCCCTTGGTACCAGCAGTCAAGAAATCAAAAGACATATTGCATTGAGAAATTCTGCTGCCAAGGACCTCTCCAAGGTGTTAAGGAGCAATGATGTCAGTTTAAAGACTATGGTGCACCTGATCAAACAAAACCTTTTCTGCTACTTGTTGTGCATCTGAAAGTTAGACAATAAGGATGATAGAAATGGAATAAATGCCTTTCAGTTGTGGTGCTAGAAAGAGTACTGAATGTCATGGACTGCTAAAAGAACAAATAAATATGTCTTGAAAAAAGTGCAACCAAGATACCCCTTAAAGGCAAGGATGGTATGACTTCATCTCAACTTCATCTCTTGCAGTGTGCTGTTCAGAGGGGGTAAAAACATCATGCTGGGAAAGATGGAGGGTCAGAGAAAGAGAGGAAGACTTTCAACCAGTTGAGCTGACTGTAACAATAGGCTTGAGTATATCTGAGATGATGAGGACCGTACATGTTCAGAGCCATTGTTCATAGAGTCGCTATGAGTCATAGTTGACTCATTAACACCTAGCAACAACGGTAACAATAACCCTAGTCTAGGTTAAGGACCTCTCTTCTGTTTAAGCTTGTGTTGAAATTATCTGTTTATGGTGGTAATTGCCCACCCCCCACCATTCTCCGTAAAGCCCAAGGGTATATATTCTTTATAGCCAAGTGTTCATTTAGTAAACAGGTCCTCATATCTATTGAAATGATGGAAACAAGTAAAAATGCCTCCAAAATTATTTTATGTGCAACACCACAGACATATCAAAGTGGACTTTGTCATGAATTAAAATGCCTCTGTCCTCAATATCTGGATTATTTCAAAACAATTTTCATATATCTTGAAACACAAAAAATCTTGCTCAGGATTTTTTTCTGTTCAGGTCAATGCTGTCAAGGACAAAGTTTTTTCAGGGGCTTTCAAAACAAATATAATTTTATGTAACATATTGATTTGTTCTACTGCCAAGATTCAGGTCTGTTGTTCATAAGAATATCAGTATGAGTCTTAGCTGACTCAATGGCACCTAACAACAATAATAACTACATTGATTTGTTAGATATTTTTCCTGAAAAGGAATTAATAATTTGTTATTCTTGTCATGTTGTTATTACCTAACCCCAACTCAGGGTAGCCCATGTACAACAGAACAGAGAATTACCATCCTTGTGATTCTTGCAGACCAGACTTTTGCTATCTGTAGGGTTTTCACTGGCTGATTTTTGGAAGTGTATCACCAGAACTTTCTTTTTAATCTTAGCTCAATGCTCTATTGAAACCTGTTCAGCATCATAGCAACATGCAAGCCTCTGTTGGCAGATGAATAGTGGCTTCACCTGAAGTACACTGGCCAGGAATCAAACCAGGTTTTCCTCATTCTCATATGGTTATTGTTATGTGCCATCCATTTGGAACCTACCCATGGTTGACTCTCCAGTCGGTTTTTAGAAACAGTAAATTGCACAGAATTTAATGCCCATCTTTCTCCCAAGGAACAGCTGGTGAATCAAACTGTGTACCTTTGCGTTGGCAGCAGTTCCTTTCCACTAGGCCACCAGAGCTCCCTCGCCATAGCAATTCTCACCAGAGCATTCTCCTCACAGCACCATAAAATATTTCTTAACATCTCAAGAAATATTTCAATTTCCATAAGTACTAATAGGTGAAGAAAATAACTCAGAGGAGCAAATGAGATATATACACACACACACACACACACACACACACACACACTTGTTCTAAATATAGATGTGCCTTCAAAACGGCAGGTTCTTTTTAGCCACTAGGGTACAGCAGTGCATCAGACAGGCAAAAATCCCTATCTTCACAGGGCTTACAGCTGATGGTGTGAACATTCTGGTCATATTACCAGACGCTTTTACTGAGTTCTATTGGGAGCTCATATGTTGTAGAAAACCTACAATACCTGGCTTCCCAGTTCCCTGGTAACTACTAACTCACTGCTGTCAAGTCAGAACCAACTCATAGCTGACCGGCAGTGGGTTTTCAGAGGCATTAATTCCACCAAAGGAAATTGGCCATCTTTGTCCCATGGAGCAGCTGGTGGATTTTACCTCCTGCCTTGGGGTTAGCAGCTCACTTCCCTAACCAGTAGGCCACCAGAGCCCCCCTCCCAGGTCATTGCACCCTAAAAAGCAAAACCAAACTCAATGCCATCAAGTAAAATCTCTCAGAGCAACCTTACATTGGATTTCTGAGGCTGTAAGTCATTACAGGAAAAGACTGTCCATCTTTCTCCCATGGAATGATTTACACTGCTCATGTCACAGTTAACAACCCCTCTATTTAACACACTCCACCACACGGACTCCTTCATGACACAGATAGCTGTACTTAGTGCAATCCTTCCAAAAGGGATAGCACATTCTTCTATACAAATAATAGATATAAGATCAACGTAAAAAAAATAAATGGTATACTGTGACACTCATGTGTCAAATGCGATATGGTTACCCATGGTGG